TATATATTAGACTACTGAATGTTATCTCTTTAGAGACATTGTGCATTCAGTCAGTGGAATGAGCACAGGAAATTAAACAAATCCTATTAATGGTAAGGACAATGTCTTTCACCTAACAAAGCACTGTTTTGTTTTGTTTTTAATTTCCCTCAATACTGCGCTACCTTACACCACCAACTTTTACTTTCCTTTGGCATTTCCTGTAATGTGCAACAACTGTACGTGGGTCATAGAATGAAGCTGGAGGTCTGAGAGCACGAAAAGGCAGTATTTCATGAGTCATGTTTCTGTCATAAATTAGAATTATGATAATATTCAGTGTGAATTTTATGAGGTGATGTGCATTGTGAGCTATAAAAACAGAGCTTGGCACAGGAAAGTAAGAATAACTTTTAAGACTTCAGAGCTACTTTAGTTGTGTCCAGAAATCACAGAGCCAGTTCAGATTACCCTAAGATAACCCCTACTGAGTCTTAGTGTTGTGATGTGTAAAAAAAGTTGCTTCTTAATTAAAAGGAGCTCATAGCGTCTGCCTCAGGCCGAACTAATACCTGTTTCCTGTTATTCAGGGAACAAAGAGTAGGCAATAGTTCTTTTGATCAAAACCATGCTAACCTTGTTAACTTAACCCAGATTCTGGCATGCCTTTTAAATTAATTTTTAATAACAGTCCTTGTGAGGTGTCTATTATTTTATCCGGAGTTGGCTCAATACCGAGCCACTACCCAGGTAACCTTTTACCCATGCTTGCTATTAAGAGTCTTTCCTCTCGCCTAAGCACTTGATATTTCCCAGAAAACTGGATTTTTGTACAATAGGCCTTGACTTAAATATGATGCTCAGCAGGCAACTACTTAGCTCCTCACCTGCCTGAAACAGCGTAACAAGGCCCTTTCCCCTCTTCACTTCCTTTGAATGGGAAAAAGATGGGGAATGTATATTTTTCCACTGAGTTATGCAGGTTCTCTTCCAAATTCCTTAATATGACTCACAAATGGGAATTATGTGCCACTGAGGTACTTGCATTTTGGATATGTTTCATGCTAGATGCCAAAAAAAAACCCCTGTATCTCCACTCTGCTTTTTTCAGTTATCTTCTGTTTGATAAACATTTCTACTGACTATTCAAATTGACGATCTATTGTGTTCTGTATTTTAACTTGCTTTTGTTTAAAATGGGTATGAGAATTCAGTCCTATTGATAGATTTGAAATCATGCTTAGAGGAAGAGGTATAAGTTTGCTATTCTTACTTCCCTTGCTGAAGCTATAATTGGCATTACGCATTATGTATTGGATGTTTGTTCTCTATTGTATCAGCCTACCAGCTCTATTTATAACACTGCAGTTGCCATATTAAACTGCATCTTCAGAACAAATTGTTGGATTTGTTTCTATTACCTGGCATTCTCTGTTGCTTATTTCATATGTTATTTCAAGTACATTCAGAAAGATTAATTTAACATGCACTCCTTTCTCCAGATAACATAACCAAGAAAGAGCTCTAAGACATTTTTTATGAGGGCTCAGCACAGTGTTTCAAATGTTTATCTAAGATGCTGAGATACTTAAGGCGAGTTCACAATTGCCTTGCCTCAAATTTGGCTTGGAAAGGTTTTCATCTGCATGGGTACACTGATGCATATCTCTTTCAGAATCATGTTCCATTTGCAGATTTCCTGCTCCGCTAACGTCAGCTCTAGTTGCAGGTCATTGCCATACAAGTAAAATCTGTTTACAGATCAGAAAGCAGCAAATTAGTTCCAGGCTTCCAGTGCAACAGTACAAGTTATGTTTTTGCAGCAATACATAAATAAACCAAATAGAAGATGTCGCAGTCTTTAATACATGTTCTGGTTTGGGTAAAGCCAAGGAATATCTTAAGACGCTTTTACTGATAAATCACAGTATAAAGATAAGACAGTCTAATATATTCTTAGTTGTAAGCAATACTTTTTTTAAATCATTAAATGTTTAGCCCCTAAATCATGTTTCTATCAATGTTCTATTTTGAATTTTATTTTATTCTCTTATCTAGCTCTGTACCAAAAGTAGTGGGAGGTTGTTCATGTGTAAATGCCCTGCTCAGAATTACAGTGGTACCTCGATTTAAGAACTTAATCCGTATTTGGACTGCGTTCTTAAGTTGAAACGTTCTTAAGTCGAAGCACCATTTCTCATAGGAATGCGTTGAAAACTATTTAATCCTTATCTGCTGTTTTTCGTTCTTAAGTCGAGGCATTAGTTCCCATAGGAACTAATGCAAAGCTGGTTAATCTGTATCTACCACTAGGGGGCGATTTTTAAATTATTTTTTTTCTTCTTTTGACCTAAGGCCAAAAAAAGGGCAGGAAATGTTTTTGTGGGGTGTTTTTTGTGTGTGGGTTGTTGTTTTTTTGGTTCTTAAGTCTAGGCTCCGTTCTCAAGTTGAAGCAACTTTTTGCAAACAGAGCCATTCTTAACTCGAATCGTTCTCATGTAGGGACGTTCTCAAGTCTAGGTACCACTGTATTGTGCAAGATAGAAAAAGTAATGGGCCACATTAATAGTGGAACCTTTCATACACACAATTGAGTGCGAGCTCGCTGTGCTTAGAGAAAATTGGAAGGTTCAACACAAAACAAGGAGAATAGATTACAGGGGGTTTTTTTTTTTTTTTGGTCCTTAAGTCTAGGCTCCGTTCTCAAGTTGAAGCAACTTTTTGCAGACAGAGCCATTCTTAACTCGAATCGTTCTCATGTAGGGACGTTCTCAAGTCTAGGTACCACTGTATTGTGCAAGATAGAAAAAGTAATGGGCCACATTAATAGTGGAACCTTTCATACACACAATTGAGTGCGAGCTCGCTGTGCTTAGAGAAAATTGGAAGGTTCAACACAAAACAAGGAGAATAGATTACAGTGGACCCTTGACTTACAGACGGCTTGACTTACAGACTTTTTGAGTTACAGACTTCTCTGGCCGCAAAATTTAGGTTTGACTTGCAGACTGAGATTTGACTTACAAGTTCAACACAAAACAAGGAGAATAGATTGCGTAACTCATCTGTCTTCAAATCTGTAAAAGAAGGAGCATGCAGAAATTAGCATAACCCTGGCGAGCCATGTATGTCTCCCTCCACAACATAGGGACATTTACTTCCATATTCCAGTGCAAATGGTGTACCACCTCCCACAACTACTCTGTATAGATCTTCCGATTGTCCATGGCTCATTAACCTAGGAAAGCTTCTTTGGATGAAATGATTAACCTTTTTCTTTGGATGAAATCTTATCTTTCCTTTTTTAAAAAAATTCATCAATTCTGATAAATACTCAATAGTGTTTAGTGTATATTAAATTGGTTCATATTTTGTTAATTTTTTCATGTGGCATCTTAAATGAAGAGTGGTGTTAATAAGGCAGAGTGTCCTTTGAGGCTTTACTTTGCTTAGAGATTTATGCAAAGCAAATTGGATCAGCGTCTGTTTTGTTAATTAACAAGCCATTGCTGTGGCAAAGGGTGCAGTTCTGTTGCACACAACAGTGACTCAACACCTATTCATTTTGAAATCCTAATTTGATGCTAAAGTGGCAGCAAGGGAAAATGCCCAAACTCTGCTAATAGAAAGGTTAATTTAGACAAAGCATGGATTAAAATAAATTTCATGTTAAAATAAATAAATAATGATGAAGTGACAGTGTCAGATTTTCAGCAGTAGGCAACTATCATTTACAAGATGAGCTAAACTGGTATAAAACTCTGACCACAGTGATAGGGAGGTACCTGCTACGTACCTAAACAGGATTTGATCCCAGCTCATTTCCTGGTCATAGCTGTGGTGCAGAGCTCTTGGAAATCTGGGATTACACTGATAATGGGAAGGACCTCAAAGCTACACTCAGTCCCTAGGTTTGTCCTAGACATTTCCCATCTCCTTTACAACCTCCTCCCCTTCTCCCATGCATACGACTTCTTCCTTGCTCCTTTAAGCACTTTCACTGCTTCCCCTACGCTCACTCTGAGAACACACCTCCTTGGCCTCTCCAGCCACCCTGCTCATCTACTACTTACATATTTTGCACTGTGATCTTCCAGACTCAGATTCTTTACCAAGAAGACTTAGGGGAAAGTTTATTGGAGAAACACAGTGTCTTGATCCCCCCCCCCCTTCTTCAGATAAAAGGTAGCTCTGAGAGAGGAGGAGCAGTGACTCAAGCACAGTATTTGCAGTACATCAACTACTAAGCATTCAAAAGCTAGACTAGGCACAATTTTCATGTTGTTTCAGTCATGGAAAGGGGAGTCATGAAGTCTCCCACCAGTTTCTGTTCCTGCTGTGCTGAAAAGAAATTGGTCCTGATCCTATTTGTTACACCTGCCAGCGTAGTGGTATCAGTGTGACTTTTAGCCTTGAATTTTTGCAGGTTAAGCATTGGCACTGGCATTTCTATTGCCAGTTCTGACATCTCACCTTGTGACAATTTGTCATAAAAAGTATGCTAATGGTGTTACATTGGTAGGCATAAGGAACAGAATGTTGGCCACTGTCACAGTGTACCATATTGTCGAATTTCACTGCTCTTTTTTAGAAGTGCCCCTTAACTCTGCCCAAGCCACAGAGGTGCTGCAGCTTTAACATGGGAAAATACCTTAGTGAATTTGCCATTAGTGCAATGAATTAGGCTTTATTTATTAGAATATAGCAACTGCCTATCCACAGTACATAGGAGCCTGAAATGCTAAATTCACACTGGTCAAAAGATCCCTCAGACATGTTAAAGAAAAAGGGCATGGGAATATTTATGATCAAATTGTGAATCAGGCATAACTAACCTTGTTAGCTGCATCTTTCCTGCGCATGTGTATTTCTGTACTGACTTCAGAAAGTGGATGGCTTCAAGGAAAATACTGTTTCGTTCTCAGCTCTGCATAATGCGTTCTCATAAGTGGTACCCACTGAGCAGGACCGATCAAGTAACCCTGTTAATAAAACTGAATATCGAACTCCTTTCTTTATAGAAAACAAAAATATGGCGACAAAGGAAAAGCTGCAGTGCTTGAAAGATTTCCATAAGGACATTCTCAAACCATCCCCCGGCAAAAGCCCTGGGACACGTCCTGAGGATGAGGCCGAGGGGAAGCCACCACAACGTGAAAAGTGGGCCAGCAAGATCGACTTTCTCTTGTCTGTGGCTGGAGGATTTATTGGATTAGGCAACGTCTGGCGGTTTCCGTATCTCTGCTATAAAAATGGCGGAGGTGAGTATTGTGTTCATAATTTTGGAGTGGGGCAGTTATGGGGAATTTTGGAGAGTGCATGAGAACATAGGTCTAGTCTAGAAATTTATTCAATCAAAAGTTCGCCTTGGATGCTTCCATTATAATGATGTTGATGATGATGATCTACCGCTTCTGCGATTCTGTGCAATGCAACAGTTGTTTATACTTCCTTTATCAAATGTTGTATCATAAAATAGTGACTAAGTTGTATAAAACAGATATGTTAAATGGGAAGACATTTCTAGCTATTGATAATAAAATAATCTAATCTTCCTGCTCTATAAAAGGAGGTCTGTTCTGTTGCAAATCCATTTTTAAATCTCAAAATAGGGATTTTTGTAACATCTTTAAAATCGGATTATTAATGCTTGTTGTCGTGAAACAGTTTCATAACATGCTGACAGAAGGGTGTGGGAAAGATTCTGTAATAATATCTCTAGAACATCAGCTGCTGTATTTTAAAAAAAATCTGTGAGTTATAAAATATTTTTAATATGTGTTTTTCATTCCTGCAGGTGCATTTCTCATACCTTATTTCATTTTTCTGTTCGGGGGTGGTCTTCCTGTGTTTTTTCTGGAGGTGGCACTAGGACAATATACCTCCGAAGGAGGAATTACATGCTGGGAAAGGATTTGCCCTATTTTCACTGGTTAGTTGTTTACTTGCTACTCTCTCTATACTTTATTCTTAAGTTTCTGAAAGTACTCTGCTGTGATTTGGGCTTAAGCAGAGAAAGTGAGTGTGCAGTTGTGCAGATGGAGCAGACACAGTTCTCAGTAGCTTTTTTGAAAAGTGTTTTACTGTTCTTATAAACACCTATGTTTAGAATGGGAAGAACTGTCAATATTGCTTTTTTCCCAAATTTGTTAACCATTGATGAATGTGAAGTAGCTTCTCAAATGTCTTGGCTGTGTGTTTATACCAGGAAAATGCAGAATGACAGCCGTGATCTAAGAATAGCTCAGTGCTTATAAAGGAACTGGTATATTCACAGGTCATTAAGTTGTTCCAGGACAACGTATGGTTTCATAAAAGATTTGCCAGATTAGATCTTTTGTTGTTGGCTTTTTGTTTTTTAGTTTCAAGGTCTTTGTTTTTTTTTTTGGTCTCTCAAAATAGTAGAAAATAAAGCATGATTAAAATCAGTAGGACTTCATCCCAAATAAATGAAGTTAGGATTGGGATGATAGCTAAAGTGTTATACCAATATGCACTTGATTAGTACCTTGCAGGCCATTTTGAGCTATGGAGAACATGACCTTACGTGCCAGTGACCCTGTGTCTGCAAACAAGGCATTATTTTATTTTTTTATGGTCAAGCACTGATATCAGAGTTAAACATTGATCGTTGTTTTAGAGATAGCAGGGCATGAGACCTTTCAAAAAGCAAGTAAGACAACAAGGGCAAGAGATGTGTGCACAAATTGTAGCTTTTACTTCATTGACTTTTTCCAGCAAACTTTTGACCTTTTTGTCGTACCCAACACGTACGCTTGTCAATGAGAAGACTGCTGTAGTTTACTATTGCTGCATCCCCTACTGTTTGTGACATTGAGGCTGTGATCCTATATGTACTTACTCAGAAATAAATCCTATTAAATTTAATTATGCTTATTTATGAGTAGCAATACAGGATTGCACTGTAAGGGTTATGCCAGCTGTCTGAAAATAAGCTCCATTTGCATTCAGTGGGGTTTATATCCCAGTAAATACTGAATTTGACCCAACTCCGGGAGGCAGTGGAAGACAGGAGGGCCTGGCGTGCTCTGGTCCATGGGGTCACGAAGAGTCGGACATGACTTAATGACTAAACAACAACAACTACATACTGAATAGTGAGAATCACTAAGGTATAACAGGTGAAATGTCAGACCAGGGCTCAGGAGACTGTGGAAGTACTTTACTTCATTGGTTGATTGCTTAAAACCATAGGTCATTGCAATATATCAACGACAGCATCAAACATATGTAACACTGTCATATCACAATTTCGCTTTTAAAAAAAAAAGAAAAAGAAAAAGTATGACTTTCCTTCTTCTTTAGGATTTTTGAAGCTTGGCACGAATCTTCTTTGCTGCCAGGGCAAATTTTGCTACTTGGTGGGTAGTGATTACATCCCTGCCCAATTAGCATACAAAGTTGATCCAAGGGAGGGGTGTCACACAAAGTTCTAAATATGCCTGCAAGGAATTTGCTCCTGGGGTGATCATATAAGGGACAAATAATGAGAAAAATCTTCAACTTCTACTGATCCACATATACAGAGCCTTTGATCAAAAGCGACATTTTTATATCTTCCTATTATTATGGCTGTTGGCATACACTGAAAGTGCAGAGCTATGAACTTTTTTCTTAGAGGGGCTGAGGTTAAATTAACAAAATAGTCCTCCAAACAAAACAATGTTTTATACAAGGGGAACCAACAGGAATAAGACGTTTCTAAGATGGCACGGAGGTCCTGCCTCTTAGAGTAAAGATAGGTTTGTTTTTTTCTTTAACTAGATGCTTAGCTCTATTTGAAACAAAGGTAGGAAGGGAGCCTGTGTCCATAGTTCTGCAGAATGGATCTAACTAAATTCATTCAGGATTTTCGAGATGGATTCTGGGGCTGTTCTGTGTAGCACTTCTTAGGTGCTGGAAGTACTCTGGAAGTAATCTCTCCTGGAAAATCTCGCATACCTTGAAAACCTGTTAAGTCAGAAGGAGGTTGATGGCACATAGCAACAACAAACACTTAAAGGCATTTGCTGGGGCTTCCATCTTGCCTACCCTTTTTGAGAGTGAATGTGCTTTGGAGCAGACATGACTAGGATTGCTACTCGTTACAACCAGAGGCATCAAGAGAACAGTCTGTTTTTAACTGGCATTCCAAAGAACTATGTGGATTTTTTTTCCCAGTTGCCATGTTAAATTAAGCTAGAGGTTTGCAGTCCATGAAGCAGTTTCGACCATGGGAGCTGTTTCAGAGCAGTTCATATGCAGAATTAGTTAAGATAGTCACTTTATTAGACAGTTTCAATCTCAAATGCAGTTAGCCATGTGGCACAGAGGGCTGCTCTTTGAGGAAGGAGACTTATGATGGTCAGGTACAGAACAGGGCAAGGCTTCTGTATTTTTAACAGTTGTGGAGAAGAGGGAATTTCAGCAGGTAGAGGTTTTATGAGGAGAGAGGAATCTTGTCCTTCTCTGCATCTGGAGATTGTTATGTATCTCCAGGTACTTCAGCAGAGCTATGAAGCTGAAGTGCCACATCAGAAGCATCTGTAGTTCTAGCCCATCAGTGGGGAACATCCAGCCTTCTAGGTGCTGCTAGATCTAGTTCCCTTTGTTATCCTTCAATATCTGGAAAGCCAAAGATTCTGTGCTCTTGCTCTAGACAAATGGATTTCTAAACTAGCAAGATTACATGCTTCTCTATAATATATATGCAACCACATTTATGTGCACTATTTTATATGTTCCTTTCTTCTGCCTCCCTCTTTTTAAACAGGAATAGGTTATGCATCCATAGTGATTGTGTCGCTTTTGAATGTGTATTACATCGTCATCCTTGCTTGGGGACTGTACTATTTGTTCCAGTCTTTTACAAGTGTCCTGCCTTGGGCGTACTGCAAGCAAAAGTGGAACACAGATAATTGTGTGGAAGACACTCTCAGGCAGAACAAAACATTGTGGCTGTCAATGAATACCACTAACCTCACATCGCCCGTCATAGAGTTCTGGGAGTAAGCAAATTTAATTATTGGGTTTTTTCTTTGCTTTGGTGCAGTTTAGAATAGTCATAGATTTAAACTTGGGGTCCAGACATTACGTAGGCATATAGGGAAAAATAGCATTTTCTCTTGACTTCTGAGATGATCTCCAAGAAAAATGTTTCACGCCATCCTCAGTATACACAGATGATATTTAGTAAGTCTAAATTTACTATTTTTTCCCCAACCTAGCGGTTCGAAAGCATGCAAATGCGAGTAGATAAATAGGGACCACCTCGGTGGGAAGGTAACAGTGTTCCGTGTCTAAGTCGCACTGGCCATGTGAGCACGGAAGATTGTCTTCGGACAAATGCTGGCTCTATGGCTTGGAAACGGGGATGAGCACCGCCCCCTAGAGTCGAACATGACTGGACAAAAATTGTCAAGAGGAACCTTTACCTTTACCTAAATTTACTATTTGCATTTTTCAGCTTTCTGTGTCACGTTAACCCTATTTACAAATTACTTGCCTGAACTGAGTAAATGTGGTGATTAGCCCTGTCTTGAAAGTTGAGATTGGCTTAAGTCTGGCTTTGGAAGTGTGGTAAATTTTGTGCCTCTGCTTCCCCTTTCACCATGCTTACTCTGTTTGTGGGAATAAAGTATGAGCAAGGCAAAAATGATCGAACTTTAGATCTGTTCAGATGAAATGCTGACACACTGAATCAGGATGAGAGCTGCCTTGCCCACCCACCACACAGGCTAGCTTCTGTTCATATTTTCATAAGAAACGGCAATGATGTCATTTCACTAGTGCAAGAAGCATTGCACTCATGGTTGCATATTTCCACAATTAGTGTAATGGATGGAACCAGTGTAGTTTTTTGTTGTACAGAGCATTATGCAACTGCTTGCAAAATTGTTCGCACAACTTTAGAATCCAGTGCAACTATGCTAAGTGGAGATTTTTACACCACCACATTTGCGTTGGATCTAGGCTTATGGGTAAGGAGATTTTGGATGCACAGTATTCTATAAATGGAAACCTTTTGGTCTGTTTGTCTTTGCTTGTTTCATTCACTTAAGTGTTATGTTGGCTCTTCAAATGACCTTCACCTGCCGTGCATTTTATACATATATCACTGCACAAGGAAGGCCATCTGTGCGGGACATATTTGGCATGTGTTCTGTTTAGATCATAAATCGTATGAGAGCTAAAACTTGTAACCCAAGAGGCAAAGATAGGGCATTAGAGAAGATGTGCCTTGGATTATACATATATCATAATCCACTGATGGGTATGATAAATGAGATGGTGAAGCCTGTACGACAGGGCAGTTAAATATGGCATTAGTGGCAGTTAGCTCCTGAGCTTTCATGAAATAAAACTTCGGCACAAGATAATACATTTTAGTTTGAATGTCCAGTACATACAGATGCAAAGAAAAAAAAGGAAGAGATTTGGTAAAATCACACACAACGGACTTTACATCATACATTAGTGGAAACTTACTCTATAACTGCTGTATTTATTAAAAGATCAGGATAAACTGTACTGTTCTCGTAAGTCACTGGTAAATTACGTAACTCATTCAGCTTGTATGGAATGACACATGTTGCATGGCAAATATGTGAATCTCTTTGTAATGTGTTATGTCACAACTTTGTGTGTTCGGAAAACAAATATTTTATGAGCAAAACAGTATTTTCATTGTTGTGTCTTGAGTATTGAAATCTACATGGGATATATCTATTCAGCCTTGTCAGTAGTGCCTGTTGAAGGAGATGCATTTCAGGCAAGGCTGGTTTTATTGAAACACTCAAACGTGGTGACAACCTATTTCTTAGCAATGGTACTGATTATACATCAGAGGCTGTCATTATAGCTTATTTGAGTTAATGGCCTGTGTAAATCTCATACTTGTTTGAATAGCAGTCACAAGGGATAAAAATATATTGCCTTATTTCCAGAGACTTAGCTCTTGGGATTACATCACATGCTTGCTTCTGTTTCTTAGCCATGAAGGTCCCCTCTTCTCCCCAGTATAGGACTGTAGTCATAATACTGAGAAGTAAGGTTAAGAAGCAGAGGACAATTACTAGTAAACAAGAGCTTTGATTGTTCTCCGCCACCCACCAAAAGCTTGTAAGTGCTTAGGAGTCAGCAGACCTGATTTACGGAAAATCCAGGGGAAGTTTGTCACATGCAGACATATAAATCTAAGGAAAAAAATGAATAACCCTAAACAATATCCACTTTAGACTCCTGTGCCCTTGAAGGCCGCTGTAAATTTAGCAAGATGACTTTACTCTTTCCCTTTGTCTTGAATGATATCCTTAGACAAAACCGGTATCATTCGTGCTAGTTCAAACAGCCCCTCCTTTTAGTTGAAGTGGGCTTCCTTCAGAAATTGCACGACTCCTGTCAGTCTGCATTTTGCTTATTCAGTAAAGCTAAACACTGCACTGTCATGTTGCTGAAGCACAGGTGATTTACTGTCTAGTTCTTTGTGACACACAACATGAATTTAGAATTAATGGTAAAATACCAACAGATTTATTTATTTTTATTAACTGGTCAGAATCCTGTTGTGATTTATGCCTGTGTAAGGGAAATTGCAGTGTGGTGTAAAATGCAGTAGACAGAGTGATAGATTAGAATTCAAAGATCTAGTTCAAATTCCCACTTGACCATGGAAACCCATTGAGGTGTGCATGTGGAACTGATAAAAACTATTCCATGAGTATGTCATTCATCTTGAAAGCCTTATTAGGATCACAGTGAGTTGGTTCAAACTTGATGGCACATAATACTAGGGAAACTGCATAACCCTTGGTTGCACCTTGCCACTCATTAACAAGGTGCTGGTTTATATTTCTGGATGTGTACTGATGATGAAATTAGATGTGTGACCAAGAAATGAACCAATACTTGGTTTACTGAGCAGCAGTTTGCTGCCAAAATGTATATAATTATCCTTCTGCAAGAATAAATTGGCTGGATTTTGGGCATTATAATAAAACTTTAACTGCAGCATCCAGCCACGTACTCTGAAATAGTCTTGGGGCTATTTAGTGAGACTCTCCTTTTACTGAGACTCTCGTAAATATCTCACAGTTATAGTGTGTAATGTATTTTGCTGTAAAATGCAAGCAAATTTTATATTCTCTTTAAGACAGTTTTGATACGGTCTCTGTGCCATATTTTAATTTATAGTAAGTAGGCAGACGTCAGTTATAAGAGAGAAGTTCATTGCACACCAGTTTTGGTATGTTTACAATGAAGTCACTTGGGACCTGTATTAAGTTAACAAAAGTATTTAATGTGATTTGTCATTTTACTACAGTGGCTGAAATTTTGATTATCTTTCGCTGCTGATTAAAGGCAATTTCAGGTATACACAACTCATACAAATCAGTGTGACAAAGTTGTGTGTACCCTGAAGTCACCAAAGGAAGCCTTTAATCAGCAGTGATTTGCTGCTGCTTCTGCTAGTGATGATGATGATGATGATGATGATGATGATGATGATGATGATGATGATGATTATGCCATCGTTGTTGCACTCACAACAGCCACTGTGCTGGTTTCAGCCTCATTATGGTTGTTTTTCATTCTTGTTGCACTCACAACAGCCACTGACTGCTGGTTTCAGCCTCATTATGGTTGTTTTACATTAGTAGGAACAATAACATCAGAAAAAAATTGCTGAATTGCACTAAGAACTAGACCTAGGCAACATGTAAAGAAAGAGGGGAGGAGAAAAAGGAAAGAGAATTGAGACTATTTCAACTGAATGAGTTCAATTCTGCAGTGAAGAGAAGAGTGTGATGCAGCTTGAGAATCATTCTCAGCTTCTTGGAACACCAAGATCATAATATTAAGTAGTTTATTCCCATATTTCTTTCTTTTAAAGCATTTTAAATATAGTACAGTAGAAATGTAAGTAGAGATTTCTGCTTATAAATATTAAAAAATATGGAACAAATCAAGTCAGTGCCATACATCTGGTTTGCTGAGTTGGATATGAAAATGTAAACTTCAGCAAAAACTGAACAAGTTAATCCCCACAGATAAAGTCATAAAGAGAATCTGTGCTCAGCCATGGAAACTCACCAGTAGGGTCGCAGTAGTAAAGTCTCCTTTTAAATACCTTACATACCTCAGAAACTTGTCTAGGATCACCATAAGTATAAATTTGTTGGCACATCACACACGTGCCATCATTCTGTTTTCAAGGACTGGTTCTAAAAAGAAAAGGGATGAAACAGTTTTGCTAAATCTTTTGTCTGTTGTGCTTCTTTTTATCTCTTTAAAGACGCAATGTATTGAGCTTGTCTTCAGGAATTGATGAGCCTGGTGTTGTCAAATGGGATCTAGCTCTTTGTCTCCTCCTTATGTGGGTGATATGCTTCTTTTGCATTTGGAAAGGTGTAAAGTCCACTGGGAAAGTAAGTGTTCTGTACCTCTCTTTTTATGATTTATGCGTGTCCTACCGTGTTTCTCCGAAAATAAGAGAGGGTCTTATTTCAATTTTTGATCCAAAAAACGCATTAGGGCTTATTTTCAAGGGATGTTTTATTTTATGGTCATGTCATCTTCTGGTTGCTGCAAAATCCTGCACAATGGTGGAGGGCTGGGTTTCACTTAACTAGGTCTTATTTTTGGAGTAGGGCTTATATTACAAGCATCCTGAAAAATCATACTAGGGCTTATTTTCACGTTATTTTCAGGGAAACAGGGTAAGTTTTTGCATTTTTGCATTCTAATTAAAAGCCAAGTTATTTATTTTTAATAAATAAAAAAGCAAACAAATTCTAAAAAAAAACCCAGAACTGTTTAAAATAAAAACAACATTCATCTTATACCTTGGTGGGATTTATCAACTGGAGACAGAGTTGTACTATTGTGTCAAAAGGGCTGTTGAGTTAACTTAATTAGCTGTCTAATGAAATCAATTTTAAGTCCAGAAATCAATTTTAAGTAGCTTATGTGTCAAATCTCAAGCCTAAATTTATGGAATTATCTTTTTATCAAGGGATACATCAACCATTGTTCCTTCTAAAACTTTTGAGTCATACATTGTTTATCTAAGAATCGGGAATACATTTCTGTCAATTACTCAACTCAACTCACTGAACACTTGGGGAGGAAGACCTTAGAGTTCAAGAACTCTGTAAAATTTGGTTTCTGTGTTTTATTTACTTTTCCAAGAGTACAGATGTGTAATATTCATGGATACTATGGTATGTTCTCCCCTTTTATATTTATTACTGAACAGTCCCTTTTGATTGTCCACATGTGTCAACTGGACAAATGTACTTCTGCAAGATCAACCCTTACCTAGTGGTAACAATTATGTATTATTAATGACCTTTTATTTTAAAGATATGCAGATGAATGGAGTACAATAATTCAAAACTTATTGGTCCAGAATAGGGTATGCAATAATCATGGCCATTGTAGATACACAATAATGCTTTGGTACTTATTCTTCTATCTTTCATCATTTATTTATTTTTATTTATTTATTCGATTTTTACCCCGCCCCTCTAGACAACATCTACTCGGGGCAGCTTACATCAGTTAAAACAAGTTAAAAAAAAAAAAGATCCAAAAGCCCCATAAGAAGAATGGTGATGATTGATGAGCATATTTCTTACTCATAATTCCACTGGCATAATTTCCTAGTTTAGAATACCCTCTCAGTGAAAACAACAACAAAAAGAGACATTTTAGAAATGTACAGTGAAAAGTACTAGGGCTGTACTTATACTGCAGGAATTACTTAGGAAGAGACATGTATTGTACTATGAAGATGTCCCTGAGTCATACTCGGATTATTCAGGGCTCTTCAAAGGGCAAGAAGGAAAATAATTGTAGCAATTTCAATTTACTAGCCACATTGAAACATCTTGTACTGTACATTATACTTACAGTGCGAGTAGACATTGTCTAGAGGGGCGGGGTAAAAAAAAATCTAATAAATAAATAAATAAATACATTTATGTAGAGGAAAAACAATTAAGACAGAGACTGTATTTTTAAATGCCAGGATAGAATTAAAAGGATAGGTTTCTAGATGATTATGTAACATTTTAAAAGTGACTGTCCCACGTAGTTTTCCAAAAGAAGTTGAAAAGATTGGTGCAGATGCATATGTTGCATTCAAGGATCTAACTGGGTGCAGGAGTTGCTATGGTGCTGCAGGCTTTGATATCTGCCTCTTAATCTCCTGAGGTTCATTTAAAAGGCAAGAAGATGTATCTCAGGAGCTTTTATCTGGATAAACCAATTTCATGAAAACAAGAGTATATTAAACAAAGTAGCTGAGGCATAATTGCTAGGTGGCATCATCTGATCTCTATTAAGAGAGAGAGAGAGAAGGTGGAGTGGGGTGGAAATAACAGATAGTCACAAATTGGCTAGTTGTGTATGCCTAATGTGCATTCCCAGAAGTCACATATATGACCATCTGTTTAAGATATCCATCCACAAAAAGACAAGGGGCATAATTCTGCTTAGATAATTAAAAATGTATTTGATTTTGCCTGTCTTCCATATTTATTTCAAGGCATTCTCAGTTGACTATGCGAGTTTCTTCCTATTTCAGAACTAGAGTTAATGTTATACCATTAGAAGGAAGAGAGCTGGTCACTGGGCTGGTGGCTGCGGTTGACGTGGAGTTGAATGCCACATATCCGTTCTAGTCTGCAGTGAATCTTTTTCTGTTCCATTCTGGCCATTTAGATGTTTTGCCTTAACAGAAAAACACCACACTTCTTAGGAACGAGGGATTGTAAGCCCTTTGTCGAGCATCTTCATTTCCACCTGTTTATTCACAATCTTCTCACCTTGCATGGGAGGTGCAGCAGGTGCTGCTTTCATGGTAGTAGAAGCCTTTGCACCATCAGGGACCTTGCTTTATCCGGGATTTTGGACACTCGGGGGCTGCTTCTTGCTTTCGGGTGAATACACTTGGATTAATCCCTTTTGACATTTCTCACCCAACACAAGATTATGAACTGAAAAAGCACAGCTGACTCATGCAGAGATGGTGGAGAATGAGGTCCCCATAGTTGAGAATTTTGATTATAATGTGTATTCTCATAACATCAGCAGAGTAAGGATATATTGGTTAGCAGAGATACTTATGACACTGAGAGAGTAAAACCAACAACTTAGTTTATTTACATATATACATAGAGAATAGACATTCCTCTGGCAGCGTAACATGAGATGAAGCAACACACAGCAAAGGAAAAAGTGATCTGACTTACAGCAGATAAAGACATTCATTTTACACATGACTTACGTACAGTTCTGTGACCAATCAGAAAATACATGACTTCATTTTCTGTTACATACTGTTACACAAAGTTTCATCATGTACACAGCTGTACAACATTAAGTCTTAATCCTTGACACCCACACCTGGATACAATCAGTACAATGACTCAGCCATTTTACATTTAACTATGCAACATTAATATTTAATACATTTTCATATCAAAATCAACACACATGCCTGAACAGAGCTCCCACAAAGCAAATCTGTGGAAGTCATTTGTACTCGTTCAGTGTGTTGAACTTAAAGAGTATGAGAAAGCAAACAGCTATTGCGATAAACTGGCATCTGATGTAAGCCTCTCTCTTTCTGCCTTTTGATGCTGAAGCGAAGGGCAGGTAGTCTAATGATAGCTTCCATAAAAGCAAGTGACAGCAAACAGTGTCTTGGCAAAAGAATTATTTGGCTAAGAGCAGGGGACAGGAAAAAAAAAAGCCAGGCTGAATATTAGCAGAATTCAGTCAATTAGTTTTGCTCACCTTGAGAGGTCACTGGGAATTATACAAGCAGGGCACCACCAGGTCTTTGACACTCTTATTTCTTCAACAGTTTTGACACACACACACCGTGGCCTGTTTTCTTGCTTATTTGCCACCTCCATTACTCAAGCTCTTTCTATCTATGGTTCATATGTTTGTCTCTTTTCTATCTGTCCTTATCTCTTGCAGGCATTTTCTGTCTGTCCCTCCATGCAGCAAAATATTTACTTCAAATGTAGTTGAGCAGACTGTTTCCTTCTGTTGTTGCTCTTCTTGTACACCGCACTTTACTGTCTTCCTATGTACTCCGCTTATGGCATCTCTGAAGTCTTATCTGGATGACCAAGTTTTTCTCAGTTATTCTTGGGGTCCGTGTGACATTTCCTTTATCTATAGGGACCCCTGAGTATAATACATTTCAATGCCACCTTCATGTAGCATATTTGCTGAAAATATTGTCACTTATAGACAATTTCAGAAATTCATTCCCAGTTTGCCTCTAGGCACAAACTCACCACTTCCATGAGATCCATATTGAACTGGAGTAGTTTGGAACGGTCTAGCACTGTGAGCTTTGGTGCAAATGGGAGCAATGGAACAGGTGGTGGGAAACAGGAGGGAAATGTAAACAGACCCTTCAAAGTCCCCGTGACTGATGCCGCAGTTTACCTGGGAAACAGTTCTTAGAGGGTATCAGACATATCAGAAGGAAAAGTGACCAGGATATGTCTTTAGTTCTCAAATGTAATTTTTTAAAAAAACAGCAATTATGTGATGTATGTATATATTGATGCTGCAGCCTTTAGTCATTTGACAGATGCCATCTGCAGATGTCTATATAATGAGGATGGAGTGTCTTGGCTTGTCAGCTCAACTTAACAGTGCAGCGAGTTGCTGTGAAAAGGGTTTAATTTTAATAGGATCTGACAGAATGTTTCAGCATGTCCTGTACCTCATCATCTTCCTTGTACTAGTTTGCAGCCATCCCAGATGATTTCGTTGAGAAAGTATGCAAGGAAGACTGGCCATTTACATTAGCAAATACATTAACAAATGATATATATATTAACACAAAAAAATTAGAGAAGAAAACTTAGTGGTTTGGAAAAATTAAAAGGAGCTGGAGCTAAGTACCCAGAACGGAAGTCAAAAGATAATTTTTCCTTTTATCCTTAACTAAGGACCATCTATTACCTCTAGTATTGAGGGCAAATATTGCTGCAGTTTTGGGGAGTTGCTGATCTCTTGAATAGCGAAAGCCAAGATCAAATAGCAAATCAGAGAAATATGTAGGGGTAAATAGCACTGTGTGTTTAATTTCGGGTATATGGGAACTTGAGTTTTGTCTTTTGATTAACAAAAGGAATGGCTTACCATTTTTGCTTTTTTATTAACAGGTTGTGTACGTAACAGCAACATTCCCATTCCTCATGCTTCTTGTACTGTTAATCCGTGGTGTCACTTTACCTGGAGCTGCACAGGGCATCAAATTCTATCTTTACCCTGACATCAATCGTCTAGCAGATCCACAGGTAGGTTACTAGGAACTTGGAAGTGTTTGTGCTTTTCTTATTTAATTGTAGAGCAAAATGTTGCTAGGGCCATGGGAGGATCACACAGATGATATTTTCATACCCTTAAGCAATCAAAACCTAACTCAAAAGTTATTCCGTGATTCTATTCCCCTTTTCCCCCCACTATATCCTGTCGAAAAGGTTGTTGTTACTGTGTTAATGCATTTTCCGTATGTGTATATCTTTTTGTATCAGAAGGATTCTGAGGCTTGTAGACTCTGTCCAAATGTAGCATCTCAGCTTTTTTTTGTTGATATTAGGCTGTGGACAAGGTAAGGGAGATAATTTTTGCTTCAGACTTTAGTTCTTAAAGGCAACAAAGTTACGGAGCAGCAAACAGAATGGTAAGAAGCACCTGTGAGTATTTGCAATTGTCCATGTTTATGGACATCCTTGGGGTGGGGGGGGCAGCAAAGCTGTGCCAAAGGTTCACACTCTTTGTAGAAAGGTCTTTTCAGAGAGATGCTTTGAAGACAGCAACCTCAGTTAAGGTGCAGGGGTCTGTTTTTCCCCCCTTCTGTGGTAAAGGGTACATCAGTAATACCATTTTAAACACCTTATATGTTGGGGAAATACAAAACTGTTCATTCAGAAGTGAAAACATGTCAATATCGTGAATGGGGTAGAAATGCTGTGTGATAGAAGCACAAAATGATTGTGATGTGAGGAGTAAAGGAGAGGGGATGGCTGAAATCTATTTTGCTCTGCTGTGCCATGATCAGTGGCATCACCAGATACCTTTAATTTTTATTTTCATTAAATTTAAACACTCCTTTCTCCCTCCTCAGTTTCCAGTGCTCCTTGGGAAACCCTTTTGCTCTGGAGAAGCCTTTGGGAGCCTCAAGATGGGGGGTGGGGGAGCCTTTAAATTGGAAAATCTCCACCAGGAGCCCTGCTGACAGATTGGACCTGTTACCAGAGATCCTGTTCCATTTCAATGCTTCCGGAGGCTTCCTGAGGCTCCCCGGGAACCCTGGGGAGCCTCAGGACCTGAAAAGCAGAGAGAAGGGAATGTCAAAGACAAGGAGGGGCCACCGTGGCCCTCCAAATGTAGTTTCACTGCATCTCCTGCCAGTGTACTCAGTGGTTATGATCATGAAAGTTGTAGTCCAACAGCTTCTAGAGGAGGCTTACCATTGGTTTTAAGTAGATAAGAGTTATATAAGAGGTATATGAAGGGTGGAACTGGCTTAAGTGTTTCCTGCCGTTTAAATCCCTCCCCCCCCCCCAAAAAAAAGACTGGAGTTCTTACAATGCTAACCGAATCTATATGGTGCACATATGTTAGTATGTTGTCTACAGTAGATATGGTTGTCTACAAACTGGTGATGCATAAAACTGGATATTCATGAAATAGTTTTATTTGACTGGTTTTATTCAATTTTGTGCTGAAACGATACTGAAGGGCAATGTTCAGTGTAGCAAGGTGATGTCATTGGGATCTACTAGTGCTCGTAATAATGTTACACCTTGAAGAGTTGTGTTGTTGCTGTTATACTGGGGATAGGATGGGAAATGCTTGTGGGTAGGATACTCTGGATTTATCCAGAGATGGTGAAAGATGCCATATCCTAATGGTGCCTTCTTTCGTTTTTTTCCACTTTAGGTCTGGATAGATGCTGGGACACAAATCTTCTTTTCCTATGCAATCTGTCTAGGTGCCATGACATCCTTGGGGAGCTACAATAAATACAAATACAACTGCTATAGGCAAGTTTCCTACCAAAGGGGTTTAGTGTGTTAGCTAATTGATGTGTAGGGAACCATGGGTTCGATTTTTTTCTTTAATTAACTTCCTCCATGACATATGTGTGACTTAGGGACTGTATGCTGCTGGGATGCCTGAACAGTGGTACCAGTTTTGTGTCTGGCTTCGCAATTTTTTCCGTCCTGGGCTTCATGGCACAAGAGCAAGGGGTGGACATTGCTGATGTGGCAGAGTCAGGTACGATGGTGTTGGTGGCAGTGATGGTGGGCACTGCCACCCAGTGTGTGAGCAAAGTACTACAGACTAAATCGACAACAACAAACAAACAAACAAAAAGAGGAATGAGGTTTTGAAAATTTTAAAAAAATGAGAATAAAAATCAGGAAGTCAATCTAATTTCTGTCACCAGGCATGACGTTTTGAAATACATATGTTCAAAATGTGCTGAAGCAAAAAGTGGACTTTAGTTTAAAGCCAACTGTTCGGAAGCGAATCAAAAATATGTGAAATATGTCAGAACATACACCTTCTCTCCCTTGCTTTAGTCAAAATCCTAATAAATATAGGAGATTCTGGAATCTCCGTGGACCCACCTAATGAAATGATAGCTATTACTAGAAAATGCCTGTGTTTTATTGCAGTGTGATGTACCTTTCGGTATAGAGAGCTGCTTCCCAACCTTGGATCCCCAGATCTTGGACTGCAATTCCCAGAAATCCTAAACCAGCACAAATGGTGGTGGAGGCCTCTGGGAGTTTCAGTCGAAGAACATCTGGGGACCCAAGGTTGGGAACCACTGGTATAGAGCTTTGATGGAACTAATGCACAAGCCTGTAAGAAAATCTGTTTCCTTGTCACAACCCTTAAAAGCCTCTCACTATGTGAAGAATTCTTCAAATCACCTGTCATTTGCAGAAATCTATGCATCTGTGCAGAGAGATGTGCCCCATGCTTAGGAAACAAGGTAGATTGCACCCTACATAAAAGAAAGTGCTTTTTAAAATTGTGCTTGAAAAATATGTGAACAAGCTGAGCTTCATTTGGAAAGAAAAAATATATATTTATAGCTCTTATTATTTTTGAACAAAGTGTGCAAATTTTCAGTCAGCTGAACATGGGAATGAGAACGCTGCATGTGCAGCTATTCAAATGCTATAGCTACCCTAATGGTAACACACCCACACCTAAACGGCAGAGAAAGGCTGCTAAGTGAGGTATTCTGTGGTTTCAAACACAGCTTGGGAAAATTGCCTTTTAGGCTCCAACATCTGCAGTCCCCCAACTAGCATGTTTATGATACTGTAAACATTAAAAATAATAATAATAATTGTGGTACCATTTAAATGCTGTTGAGGAAATACAGTGAAAATTCATGTTTTATCCCATTTTTCATCTTGGCTCCCACTTTTTAAATCCAGCACTGCTTTTTGAGGCAGAACAAAAACAGTCAGGGAGCTTGGAATGGCTCTTAACACACCTTAATATTCCACCACATACATAATTCTGCATATTTGAAACCTGAAATTGTTTTGGCATAGCTCTAGCAAAGAGTTAGGCTCACTTAATTCTGTTGTCTTTGGTTAATTCAAGCTTATTCAAGGCTACAGTTGTATACTTCCTTACCTGGGAGTGAGCAATGCTGAATGTAATAGGACTTGCTTTGAATAAATATGCGCTGTGAGCCTGGTGCAGTATTGTAGCTATTGGATCTATATTTTGCATGCCGTATTCATCCAACCCATTAAGGGCAATGTTTATGAAAAGATGGTGAAGCCTGATTGTATCTCAGAGGTTAGCCCCAAGCGAGTTCAGTGGGTCTTCCTTCTTAGCATATGTGGACAGAATTTTAGCTAAAGTAATTTTATTTATGAATGGACGAAAGAAATAAAATAATGAAATAGTTCTGAAGGCCTTTTGAGAGTGCTCAAGTCACTTGAGATACCAATATTTTTTTTGGTATCCAATATTGGATTCCACATATAACACAACAATTGCCTCTGATGAAACACTATATGCCTAAAGCAGCAGGGCTTTTTTTAAAATCCTAGATTTATTTCTCCCCCTGCCCTTAAAAACTGGTTAGTGGGATTTTTGCTTTTTAAAAAAGTAATCTGTGCATGCAGCCCTGTCTATTAGATCAGATAAGGGAATGATGTGCCTTAGACACATCGTTTGTTCCCTAGTAAAGGTATTTGCACTGAATTTTCCCTGGGCTCAGTGGAGCAGGAAGGTCATAACTAATGTTAAATCCCATGAATTTCTGTGGGAAGTGCATAGGTAATATTTGGGAGGGGGGGCAAATCAGGACTGAGATATTAGATTATCCTCAACAGTTTTGGTGTTATTTTACTGAAAAGGAAAAAATATCAGTAGTGAGTGACAGAGTGCTAATCCACGGAGAGAACTCTCTTGCTTTACTTCATAAGAGCTAGAAGGGACAGGGTTAGGGGTGGGGGAACACAACCCAAGTGGTGTCATCCTCTATGCAGCAGCCCAACATTTCAGTGTGTTTCTTTAAACAAGAAGATTTCATGAAAAGTATTTATGCAGCATTTTCCCATTACGTTTAAAACTACTAAAATATTTATAAAATAAGAACCTCTTTCAGCTTCTTATTCAGGCTCAATGTAAAATGATTCAGTGGCACCAGAATAAAATGAGAATTATCTCCTTGTACTGTATGCATGTTGTTTGCCATAGAAATAAGCTTTGTTTTGGCTTTTATTGGCTGATTCACAGGGAATATGGGAGACTCCACCATTGATTTTGCTACTCATAGCCCTAGTTGGTAGACACTGGTGTGTTTTTAGTCAGCTTTTTTTTTAATTGAAAGGAAACTCTGTATTTGTTGCTTTGTATCATAAGTGAATGTTACCAAGTGACTTTGTTACATAGCTACAAATGAATTTATTGTAGAAACACTGGAGTAAACCCTGAGAAACATGTAGCTAGTACTCTACCAGGGATTGATTATTTAGATTCTTCCAACAGAAACTGTTAGGCCACTTACAGTACTTTGTTACTGTTTGCAAATGTTACTTCGTTAGCATTGATAGAATTACAAAAGCTTTTATGGCATGTTGACCATAAACCCAAACCTTAGAAAATATTTTGTGGATGATGCGTAGCATTTTCCTCCCTGTTCTTAAAGATCACGGGAACGGCTTCTGCTATAGTTATAAGTAATTTACTCTGGTAGTGCACTGTACTGTTTTTTTATGAGGTATATACGCGTGAAGAGTTTGACCTCTTCTTGGTATGTTTGATGGAGATAGCAAAGCTTGCAATGGATAATGAATGGCTTTTGGATTTGGTTACTGGAGTTGCTGTTGTAACCATGCATGCTTCTTTGTCAGATAAAGGATCCGAGTGAATTCCATTCTGGAATCTTCAGTTGGGTTTGGTTTTATCTGAATGGAACCAGGCATCCATACTGGGGAGGAGAAGGGGGAGGAGGGAGTCTTGTGTTCAAGAATGAGCTGCTTACTTACTACATCTTTTCCCTTTGCCCCCTTCCTTTTTCTGTTTCTTTATTCCTCTAGGTCCAGGCTTAGCCTTTATCGCCTATCCAAAAGCTGTGTCTATGATGCCGCTCCCAACTTTTTGGGCTATTCTTTTTTTTATTATGCTTCTGTTGCTTGGCCTGGACAGCCAGGTGAGTAACTGTAGCCACGAACATGACACATATACCGTGTAATGAAAGCCTGTACTTAAATCAATTGTTTCTGCTCCAGGGTAAACATATCTTCAATACCGCACAAAAGGATTACCCTCCAGCAGGGGAAAAACTGCAGAACATTACTCACTGTGCTCTGCTATAGAGACCCATAGAGTTTCACATGCTCTGCAGCTTAAGTACCTTTTATTAATATGAAGGGCATTGTATATGTAGCAATTTATATACAAATGGGTGTATAAACAAAAAGGGGCCAAAGATTGGTTCCCTGCAGCATCACACATAAAGGACTTCAGGGATTAATCAGAACCTGGAAGGTGAAGTTTTTTTCTCCCTTCCCTTGGAATTTGGAGACGCCAACCTACTAGGACGTTAGTCATTAACACCTTCAAAACATCTCCATTTTGTACAATCTTTGCCTGATTACATGTTTTGAGGAACTTGAAAGCTTGCCTTGGTTGTCACTTTTTAAAGGTCCTTTAAATGTATTTACTCTACCCAGAACTTATAATTACTGCTGGATAGTTCAGTGGTTTAGATTTCTGGCTGCGGAGACAGAGGTTGTGAGTTTGATTCCCCACTGGGCCTCCTCGACAGGGGCTGGAGATAGGCTTCCTTCTAGCTCTTCAGTTCTAAGATTTGTTTCTATGGGTTGAGTCACTTCGCTTTTGGGAGTGGGGGCATTCCGACTAGCATCCTCTTTGCAATATTCCTTTTTACTTCCTTGGCGAACCTCTTTATTGTGCTCCCCCACATCTTTCCATCAAATCATATATTTGCCTCACAAATACATGCATAGACCAACAACAGAATGAAGACAGAGTAGAAATGGTGCGAGGGTGGGGAAATTGGCCACATTGAGGCTTGCCAACCTGAAGCTGTTCTTTCGTACCCAGCAAGGGGCTTATCCAGCCCTTGACCATTAAATTAGTAGATTTTAACATATGATAATCAAAATTACCACACACAGTGTCTTGCATGTGGAGCAGCTAAATGGCTAATTAGATTATTCAGCAACTTTGTGTCTAACCAAAAAAGAAACAATGACACTCTTTGAAGCTTGTTTTGAGGCACTAAGTACTGGTGCATGCCTTGCCTTTCAATTTCATAAGGTCTTTTAGAGTTCAGCATAATTGAAAACTCAGCCATACCTTTGGAAACCAGTGGATATGCTTATTCTTTCAATGGCCGGGTTAATTGTCCAGTACATACTTCTGTTGTTATTCCTATGAGAAACAAAGTTGAGGCTTTTGCTTTCTTCCTCCCCACCTCATTACGTGACACAAAGAAATCTGTTAATAATTTCTGGACAATTGCTAGTTGTGTAATTCTGCTAGGTTTTCAGGGGAGACTTCCTTGAGGTGTTTTAAAATTTTAAACTAACAAGCTTCTATTTATTATATGAGTAAGTGGTTTTAGTGGTAAATAAATCTGCTTGTCAAGTAGTATACCCTGTTTCCCCAAAAATAAGACCTAACCTGAAAATAAGCCCTAGTAAGATTTTTTGAGATGCTCGTAATATAAGCCCTACCCCCAAAATAAACCCCAGTTAAGTGAAACCCCACCTGGTTGTGCTGCAACCAGAAGATGACATGACTCTCCACCCACCACCGTTGTGCTGCAACGAGAAGATGACATGACTGTATTTGAGTAAATGTGGGTTGTTGAACATGAAAAAAAAAATCCCCTGAAAACAAGCCTTAATGCATTTTTGGAGCAAAAATTAATATAGAACCTTGTCTTATTTTCGGGAAAACACGGTTCTTGAAAGTATACTGAATTCACAGTCTTTTATGAGTTCCTAGTGGAGTTCTCCCTCTGGTTGTTACTCACTTGATCTCTTAAATTGGCAAAGCATTCCATTCGTTCTAAATGGCTTTTTAGTGCTTAATCTTTGAACTCCAGTGAGCGACTTTTAATCACTTCCAAATTGAATGTTAAAACATGCTCAGAGCTGTGGTTCTGCTACCAAGTGCTTATGTAAATTGAAGGTTGCCTGGTAATTTTAAGTCATTTGTCACTGTGTAGAATAATTAAAACTAATTGGACCACTTAATGTTTTGTTTGCTTTTGGATTGCTGTCAAGCAGGATTTTGGAATGTTAGAGCAGCTTAGGAGCAAGATGGACTCTAGTTATATTGCAACAGAAAAAGAAAAACAGAAGACTTATGTAGTGCCCTAGGTTAAGGAAGGATTTTAACAAAGTATCTTCCTAATTAACCATATTTGTACTTGTCTAGTGAAGTAGTTATTGAGTTCCTGCTCACTAACAGGAACAACCACGTTTTATGTATGCAAAGGAAATTATTTCTGCTCCATGTTTAACGAGCCAGGACGAGAAAGTCTAGGCCTAGGAATATTGCTACATATAGAGGGATTTCACACCCTCCTATATGGCACACTTGAAGACTTGCAGTAGACCATATTTACCAACTTTTAAAAATGTGTTCGAATGAGGTACTGAAGGCTTAGCCAGATGAAGACTTTGTTCATGTAAAAGAACCTGCTTTTGTAGTATTTCAGTATTTTCCCCACCATCCATATAACGTAATGTTTGTCCAAGTAACAGCAGTGACAAAATCCATGCCTTCCAATATTTTTTATCTCTCCAGCATTTGTGATTTATTTTGCTCCAGGAATTGGTTTGAGGATAGAGTTTAGCACTATGGTACTCCCTGTGACAAAGAATAACAGATCAGTTGGACTTGATCCATAGGGTCCTTTCCAGCTCTGCAGTTCTTTGATGGCAATGATGATGTTTTATTACCATTGATTACAGCTCCATTCATAATTTACATCAGATGAGCAGATACACCAAATAAAACACAATAGGTTTTAAGATGGCACACAATTATTTGTAGGCTTTTTAAATGACTAATTTTTAAGGTTGTTTTACAACAAAAATGAAATAAAAATTAAAAATTAATTAAACTGAACAGAAAGAAAACATAGTAAAACAAAGCAGACCTGGAGTAAGTGGAAATGTTTTCCTTCGGTGTTGAAATTATGTTAAGGTACACACCAGGTGAGTTTGTCTGAGGAAGGGATTTTTGTAGCTGAGGTACCGCAGTGGAAAACATCCTTAACAACTTGTTGCATCTTTTGTGTTAGAGGAGGCTATGAAGGATGAATAAAACCAGATACAGGCTGCTAAAGATGATTAAGGCAGTTACATGCGAAGAGAGGTGATCTTTAAGGGATTCTCATCCCAAGCCGTGGTAGTTTAAATCAGGACTAGAACTGGACATGAGTAAGTGGAGCTGGTGAAGCACTGAGTCTGGGTATGCATGCAGATGCTGTGCAGAGAAGAATCAGACCCTTCATGTTTCAAGCCAATACGGAATAAATATTTTTTTCTTTCTTCTAAAAGCCACAATAGCTTTTCTAGAAGCATGAAAAGCATAGCATCACACCAAAATATAATGATTTTCTCCTCACTGATCCTTATGACTGTACTAAAGAACTCTTAAGTCTAGGGTAGGCTTTGGTTTAAAGAGGAAAGGGAAATGTAACAAGCAATTTAAGATCAAACTGAACACCACACACATGGTACCTCTTAACCTCTTGAGAAGATAAATAAGTTAATAGTTTTGACTTTTCCACTGAGAGTGCCAACTGTGTGTCCAAGTGGAGATATAAATCCTTGTTGGTCTCATCCGTGCATGTGAGGATAAGGAACCATGAAATAATTTTAGGTGCCCTGAGAGAGGTACAAGGTGTTTTGTAGTAGCAAGAGAGAGAAAAAGTCAATGGGAACAATCCTTTTGTGCAAACTTAGCAAAGTAGCTCATTTCATGTAAGTAGTACAAATTGTGCAGTAGGATGGTGGCTGCTGCTTTGTGATATGAACTGTCTAGGATGGAAAGGTGCTTGCCTTTTTTAAAACAAAACAAAAATGGAATTCATTCAATGTTTTATATGCCCCTTCTTTTCTTTTCCTCCATCCTGCAGTTTGTTGAAGTTGAAGGACAGATCACATCTTTAGTTGATCTGTACCCATCCTTCCTAAGGAAGGGTTACCGACGGGAAATCTTCATCGCTATAGTCTGTTTCCTCAGCTATCTTCTGGGACTAACTATGGTGACTGAAGTAAGTACAAATGCCTGGTGCAGCCTTCCTTCACTTTGCGTTTCAGTGCAGATCTATTCTGTGAAGTCACAATGACACATTAGTTCAGAGGTAGGACACGTACCTCAGGGACATGGTGGCGCTGCGAGTTAAGCCGCAGAAGCCTCTGCTCCAAGGTCAAAGACCAGCAGTCGTAAGATCGATTCCACGCGATGGAGGGAGCTCCCGTCGCTTGTCCCAGCTCCTGCCAACCCAGCAGTTCGAAAGCATGTAAAAATGTGAGTAGATAAATAAGTACCACCTCGGTGGGAACGTAACAGCGTTCCATGTGTAGTCACGCTGGCCACGTGACCACGGAAACTGTCTTTGGAGAAACGCTGGCTCTACGACTTGGAAACGGGGATGAGCACCCGCCCCCTAGAGTTGGGCATGACTGGACTAAATGTCAAAGGGGACCTTTTACCTTTACCTTTTACCTTTACCTAGGGCACATACAGCGCATGGAGAAGGTCTAAGGTTCAGTTTCTGGCATTTCTTGTTAAAAGGATCTTGTGACATAAAAAGCCTCCTTTGCTAGACCTTCTGGGGAACAAGTGGTGGAGCTACTGTGGTAGAGATGGACAAATAGTAAGGGTGTCTGGATGGTTCCTAAGAGAACAATCTGGTTCCTCAGAGGACTAATTTGCCTGTATATGGTACTGGTCTGGCCACACAATTTATGTGTTATACTATTAAGGACCCTTTAATCTAGTGCTGTATTTTCTCAGGACTTTCCTTCTAAAAGTACAAAGTCCTTGAATAACCAAAAGGACTACATTCTGCTGTACTGTAGATATTGGAGGAACTCAGTTAAACGGAAATATACTGTATGGGATATTATGTCCAGCTTGCAATCCCTATTATATTTAGGGTTTGATAACTCAGTCTTGTAGAAGGTGCTAGAAAAACAGGACAACTATTGTGTACAACAGTAAATTATGTCAGCCTATCTATTAGCAAGCTCCTTGGTGAGATTTTCTTATATATTTTGCTCTAGTGACAGCAATTTCTGCTGAATACCAATTTGTCTTCCATCTTATTTGTATAAATGCCTACTCTAAAATGCCAGAGTTTAGGAAGTAAATAACTTTAATCCTGGTGTAGATGAAGCTGAGTGGCTTAATTTCGCTCACCATTTCTTTCAAATCGGGTATGAGAAGTAAGTGCAGATTCTGGAAAGAACATCTTGTACTTAACAATTTCCAAGAGTTGATTGGCAGTTGTATTTTTGTTGATGGGTAATTCTTCCGCAAGAGTGAGTCATAGATGTGAAGGACAGCAGCAAAGGTCCATTTGCTTTTCACACTTCTTGTCAGCAGCTGCGATTGTGCATTAGTAACACTCATGTTTATTTTCCACTTATGTCTTTTCTCTTCTAGGGTGGCATGTATGTGTTTCAACTCTTTGACTACTATGCAGCTAGTGGTGTATGCCTTTTGTGGGTTGCATTCTTTGAATGCATTGCTGTAGCCTGGGTTTATGGTGAGTAAAGTTAAGGTTCTGGTCTGATACCTACCCCTGGGATCCAGCTAAGTAGCTGGGATTGGGTTTAGGTCAGGAAAAGAAGAGAGAAACTAAATGAAAGACCTGAACATCACATAATGATTTCTTTACATTGTTTGTTTATCCTCCTAGGATTCCTCCAGGAGTTTCAGATCTCCTAGAATCAATTTTTCATTGGGTCAGAACAAGAACAATTGCATCACTTTTTCTTTTTTCTTTTCTTTCCTGTTTTACTTCTATATTGTGGAAACACTCCCACTCCAATCTCTTTTGACATTGTTGTTACATGCTGTCAAGTCACCTCTCAGTTATGGGGGGGCCCTGTGATGAGTGACCTCCAAAATGACCTTTCCTCAACAGCTCTTGTAAACTCATGGCTTGGGTCTTCCTTTATGGAATCAACCCATTTCATAGCTGGTAATCTTCCTTTCCTGCTGCCTTCAACTTCTCCCAGCATTATTCCCTTTTCCAGTGAGCTTTGCCTTCTTGTGATGTGCCCAAACTATGCTGGCCTTGGTTTCATAATTTTCTGCTTCCAGAGAAAGTTCAGGCTTGATCTGATTTATGGCCCACTTTTTAAGCATGCAAATGCGAGTAGATAAATAGGGACCACCTCGGTGGGAAGGTAACAGCGTTCCGTGTCTAAGTCGCACTGGCCATGTGACCACGGAAGATTGTCTTCGGACAAAACGCTGGCTCTATGGCTTGGAAACGGGGATGAGCACCGCCCCCTAGAGTCGGACACGACTGGACAAAAATTGTCAAGGGGAACCTTTACCTTTTACCTTTTATTTTTTCTAGTGGTTCAGGGTATATACAATGCCCTCCTTCAAACAAATAGATTTCTCTCTCTCTCTCTCCAGTTTGATATCTTTTGGCATAACGGCTCTGTACTCTTCTAGGGTCATTCTTACATTGTGGAATCCTGCTAATTTCACCTGCTTGAAAGTTTTACAGAGCCTATAATTTGATAGAGATTATTCTCTCCAGCTGTATATTGTTCAATTTATATTTCAGATTGTAGTTATTTTATAATTTTTTAAGATATTAAAAGAATATAAAATAAAAAAGCAACTGTGTGTGAGGAGTTTCCACCATGGACTGAATGCCATGGGAAATTCAGTTTGACTGTTGCTTATAAAAGGGAGGTTTCTTCCTCTTCCCAATTCTCCTCTGTAAGCTTTTCCTACTAGGGAAAGTGTCCTTTCTGAATTAAGCAATGGTAAAGACCAGGGTACAGCATTCCACCACATATATCTTAATTGCTATGACATCACAGGGACAAAGGACAAAAATGGTAGGGACCTAACAGAAGCAGAAGACATCAAGAAGAGGTGGCAAGAATACACAGAGGAATTATGCCAGAAAGTTCTGGACTTCCCGGACAACGCAGACAATGTGGTTGCTGACCTTGAGCCAGACCTGGAGAGTGAAGTCAAGTGGACCTTAGAAAGCTTGTCTAACAACAAGGCCAGTGGAGGTGATGGCATTCCAGTTGAACTGTTTAAAATCTTAAAAGATGATGCTGTTAAGGTACTACATTCAATATGCCAGCAAGTATGGAAAACTCAGCAGTGGCCAGAGGATTGGAAAAGATCAGCCTACATTCCAATCCCAAAGAAGGGCAGTGCCAAAGAATGCTCCAATTACTGTACAATTGTACTCATTTCACACGCTAGCAAGGTTATGCTCAAAATCCTCCAAGGCAGGCTTCAGCAGTATGTGGACCAAGAACTCCCAGAAGTACAAGCTGGATTCCGAAGGGACCGAGGAACCAGAGACCTAATTGCTAACATGCGCTGGATTATGGAGAAAGCCAGAGAGTTCCAGAAAAACATCTACTTCTGCTTCATTGGCTATGCAAAAGCCTTTGACTGTGTGGACCACAGCAAACTATGGCAAGTCGTTAAAGAAATGGGAGTGCCCGGCCACCTTATTTATCTCCTGAGAAACCTATATGTGGGACAAGAAGCAACAGTCAGATTTTACTTTCTTGGGCTCCATGATCACTGCAGATGGTGACAGCAGCCACAAAATTCAAAGACGCCTGCTTCTTGGGAGGAAAGCGATGACAAACCTAGACAGCATCTTAAAAAGCAGAGACATCACCTTGCTGACAAACTATGGTTTTTCCAGTAGCGATGTATGGAAGTGAGAGCTGGACCGAAAGCTGACTGCCGAAGAATTGATGCTTTTGAATTGTGGTACTGGAGGAGACTCTTGAGAGTCCCCTGGACTGCAAGGTGAACAAACCTATCCATTTTGAAAGAAATCAACTCTGAGTGCTCACTGGAAGGACAGATTCTGAAGCTAAGGCTCCAATACTTTGGCCATTTCATGAGAAGAGAAGATTCCCTGGAAGATTCCCATGATGTTGGGAAAGTGTGAAGGCAAGAGGAGAAGGGGACGACAGAGGATGAGATGGTTGGACAGTGTCACCGAAACTACCAACATGAATTTGACCCAACTCTGGGAGGCAGTGGAAGACAGTAGAGCCTGGCGTGCTCTGGTCCATGGGGTCACAAAGAGTCGGACATGACTTAACGACTAAACAACAATAATGAGATCACAGTTAAACTGGACATCAAAAACAGGGAGCAACAGGGAGTGCCTGGGCAGCCATCCCAGAAGTGCACATAAGGCAATCTCTTTTGGAATGTATTTTGTGTCATAGCTGGGATGCTGGAATCTACATGCCATTACAGTTGCAAGCCAATGTAGCTGCACTGCCAGCTTTGCTAAGTAGAGTTACTAGAAGATAGATGAATGCATCAAATCAATTCCTGAACTACTGTAAAAAAGGAACAAAGATTCATCATCTCAATTATGGGGTTATTGCCACTCTCACAGCTAGTTTGGATCACACACTCCGAGTAAGTAGGTGGGTGACAAATTTCAGGAACATTTATGTTCCTGTAAGAAAGCATGTTCTAGCAGCAGTTCTTCAGAAACCATTTGAATGGGCACAAAAAATGTTCACTGAGAAGAAAAATTCTCCTTGACTCAGACACCGGACCAATGCTACCATTTGCCATGAAGTAAAACAGGAAACATCAGTCTGAATATATTTTGGAACACACATTTTTATGTGTATATTTGGAGAAGTTGTATATGAGAGACATCTGGACTGACACTTCAGAACAAGGGCAGCTTTGTATGCCTTCACGGATACCAAAATTACAAAAAAAAACTGATTTGTTCTATGATTCCATCACTGTTGCTGTACGATCTCTGCCAGACACAGTGAAGGACAAAAAGCTAAGCCTGAAGAAAAAGGGTCTAGTGTTGCAACATTGCAGGAACAATGGCACAAAAGGCCACATCTTAAAAAAAAAAAGGGGGGGGAGATAATGGGATTTTCAGGGTGGTATTTAGATGGTTAAAAATTCAGATTAGACCTAATTTTAAACTTAGACTCAAAGTGGAAGTTACATTCCAGACTAATAAATCTTCTTTCCCCTGTGTTTGAACCCCAGGCGCTGACAAATTTTATGATGCCATTGAAGATATGATTGGTTACAGGCCTGGTCCCTGGATGAAATGGAGCTGGATTCTAATCACACCAATTCTCTGTGTGGTGAGTACTGAAACATCATAACCGAACACCTTTCTTAGGCCATTTGCAAAAAAAGCAGACTGTGTTTGCAAACAAATGTTTTCAGTTACTGTGCTGTCAGGCATTGTAAGTAGAGATGCAGGTATACGAATTTGAACACCCCCACACAGCTGGACTTAACAAGTCCACTTACGCATCCGGCAGGTTAGATCCCTCTCTTCCTTCCAGTCACGTCAAGAGCCCTACTTGGCTAGCCACTCCTGGCAACGGGAAGGAGGACGAGTCTCTCTGCAAGGCTGCTGAGTCCCTAGCCAAGCGGCGCTCCGGGAGTGAGTGGAAGGAAGAGAGGGACCACCACCATCAGATGCCTGAGTGGACAGTCCGGCCCCAGGGACTGGACCCTCATTAAGTCCAGCTGTTCCGGAGCATTCATATACAAATACCTCCATCTCTAATTCTAGGTACTAAAGGTATTCTAGAGATGGAATACCTCCATCTCTAATTCTAGGTACTAAAGACACTTCAGTGTGTCTGGTCAATGTACTGCTATCTTCTTGAGTTAGACTTAGCTGCAACTTATGAATTTTTTTGCCAAGAGACAAGACCCATGGACACAAGTGAGACTTTTGAGTACGCATGCAGAGGAGTGCATGGTTTGTTCCACACCACAACATAGCATTCCTAGCAGGTGAAGACAAATAGACAATGCTGTGAAAGCCTTTCTTTCTCCTTTGCGGCCCCTCATAGCACAGTAAAATTTTCACTCTTTGCTGCATGTTGTAATGGTTTGCACTGACTGCAGTGTAACTCTTTTAAAAAATGGAATAGAAGGAGGATCTGGAGACCAGAATTAGAAGAGCCTCCTGCTAATGCGAAGTTCATAGAGCAGACACCTTAAAGAAGCTGTGGGTGAGAGAGAGCATCGTAGGGATGTTATCCTACAGTGTATGAACACCCACCGATTCACCACTAGCAGCAAAGCATGAGGAGCAGCAGAAATAATAAAGTCAAAAGAGAGTTTGCATAGTAGAAAGCAAAGAATGAGATAGATGTAGTTGGTCCCTTGCTAAACTGCCTGTTAGGGCTTCTATGTTAGGAGATGCATAAGGCATGAGTTTAAGAATGGCTCAAGACTTAAATCATTTTATTCCCTTCCAATATACAGCCTCTTGAACACAGAGAATTTCCTTATATATTTAGGGAAAAGAAATAAATAAAAATATAATCAAAGTTCAATTTGTCTGGAAAATAACCTACTGTCAGCTTCACCCTCTTTCTGAGATGCTTACACTGATGCTGTAAATCCACACTGCAAAAGCTGTCAGTTGGATAGAGGACACCATTGTTTCAGGACATCTTTAATGGTCTTCTTTCAGTGATCTTTGTTTTGTTTTCTGTCTTGGCACAGGGTTGCTTTGTCTTTTCTCTGGCCAAGTATACACCACTGACCTACAACAAGGTGTATATCTATCCGGAATGGGCAATTGGCCTGGGGTGGATTCTTGCTCTCTCTTCTATGGTCTGCATCCCGCTGGTTATGGTCGTCCGTATTTTGCAGTCAGATGGCTCTCTCATTGAGGTAAATAAAAAAGCTGGAAAGGTGGGGTTAAAAAATCAATCAACCAACTGATCAATTAATCAATCGAAAGCTGAATGCTGATTAGTACTACTGTTAGCTGGCCCGCTTAGGACATGCTGTTGTTGGATCTATCTTTTGAATAACTATTCTAAGCAACAGCCAAGCCTGCTTGCCTCTGCCCCACTTCTAAAGATGTTTTGTTCTCCAGACACAAAACAGATGAGTGAAATAGATGCAGAATGAGAAAGCATTTCATGTTGTAATAGTAAAGGAACGACAATGAGGTGCAGATATAGGGCTTACACATGTGAGCATCCCAAGAAGCCAAGCTGTGACTGTTTCATACATCTCTGCCGTAGACCCAACACATATTCATTGAACACGACTTCCTGCTAGAGTAGAAATACTTGCCAGAGAACGTGACCTCGATCTAACTGTGATCCTGGAATCTTAATCACGTTGTCAAAAGGAGTATCAGTTGAAAAAATGGATGTCAAAAGTAGTATCTGTAAAGATTTGGGAGATTTATGGAATCCTGATTTAACAAAGGCTGCTTGCTCTCTTCCTCTCTGCCTTGCCCAAGCACTGAGCATCCATACTTGGTGGTGCTTTGTAAGGATTGGCCTAACCGTTTTTTTGTTACAGTGTTGAGTTAGAGAGCCACCTAGTGGAAAACAGAATTTATCAATACCAAGTGAAGGTGTTAGCCAAGGGAAATCCTGTCCTGGGCATGGTTCTAGCAGGGGCAGCTCACACCAACATTTAAAGAGCACACAGCTTTTTTCTGGTCACAAGCTGTCTATACCGTAGATTTGGTGGCACAGTCATTTTTTTTAAAATAAGAATCTCAATGCTTACAGTTTTATTTTTTTGCAGCCACTATTCTAGTACTGTGTTAAATTTGTTTTATATCTGTTTTATTCTTTTATAAAGATAGTAAGTAGCCTTGAGCACTGCTTTGTGGTGGAAAGGGAGAATATACAGTAAATGTAACAAATACCTACCTACCATGGCTGAAATCCTGTTGCACAGTTGTGCAGGTAGAACTTTCAGCCACAAATGGCTATAAGTTAAGAAATCTCTGCAGGCATCTGTGGTATGCCAGATCAAGTGACTCAGTATGCAATAGATTATGTCTGTGGAGATTTACTACCTGCAACCATTTACTTCCAAAAGTTACAGCATTTCTGTAACTGCACAACAGGATTTCAGCCACTTTCTTGTGCCAGTCCGGCAAACATCTTGTGAGCAGTGGCTCCAAACAGACCCAGTTGGCTTAGGGTTTTTTTAAAAAACCTGTGGATGGTTTTTGCTTAACAGTGAGCATGCTTTTAAAGACACCCAATATGGTGGCTAAAGTTTCTCTAGCTGCAACGTGATCCTTTTGATTGCTCTTTTCTGCACCTTTTCTAATAGCCACTATCCTTTTCAAGGTTTGGCAACATTATTGTAGATTTGGTGGCACAGTCATTTTTTTTCTTTAATAAGAATCTCAGTGCTTACAGTTTTATTTTTTTGCAGCCACTATACACTGATTTGATGTTCTTACTGTGTTACCTCAAGTTCCCTTTCCTGATAAGTCATCATCAGCTCAGGCCCCACCAGTGCATGTTAGAAATGTGGGTTATTTGCCCTTAAGCACAATACGAGCACAGTAACATTCTCTGGATGTCTCTTTTAATCCTTGTGTATCTTTTTTTTTCTGCCTAGAGGGTGAAGGCAGTGGCTGCCCCGCGTGAGATTAGTCGGTGGGACAGAGAAACAGAGATTGTTACCCCATTCTGCCCTTCTAGAGGAGCCAATGGTGAACTGATCAAGCCAACTCATATCATCGTGGAGACAATGATGTGAGCTCTCTCTATGAGAGGAACCGCCTGCTTTAAAACTGCCGTTTACTAACCATAGAATCTCTCATAGGACCAGGTTTACAGAGCTTTATATTTGCACTAGGATTTATTTTTATTTCTCACAGAGAAAATTATTTTTCATGTGTTTGGTTTTTATTTTTTAATATTTTGTAAAGTAAATCACAGCTGATGCCTCTTGCTCTACTTAGAGGCAGAGCTTTCATATCAAATTAGGCACTCTGCAGGAATTTACTATTTCCCCCCCACACAACATATCTAACTAACTTCTGTTGATCATGCCACCTTACCATTTGAGTTTATCTTTTGGCTTTTCGGGGTGTATTTTTTTTTTTTTTTGCCAGCAATACCCATAGTCTGCAATCCTATGTGCACACTTACTTGGGAATATCCCCCTGAACACAATGGGATTTACTTCTGAGTAAACATATATAGGATTGCACAAAGCTCAGATTTCTTTAGGTGCTGGTATCACTGGGAACAGGGTAAAAACAAAAGCTTACAAAAAAGCATGTCTCTCATTAGAGAAATTTGCTATTTGAAAATGAATGCATATGTTATTTTTAAAGAAACTGGTTTTCAAAATATAACACATCCTCCTCTGGTCAAAGTGGGGAAAATTAAAACAGGAAAGGGTACATGCTTTTATGTTTGCTGCAGTCCACATGAGATGGCATTTGTGTATATAAATGGAAAAGCTGCAATATGGATTGGGAGCGGTTAGAAACCAAGGGAACAATCCAGGCACCAGTCATCTCTGAGTACAGTTCTTACGCAGACCACCAGTGATAGGGTAGCAGCCTCATTCTTGCTTCAGATACTGTTTGCCAGGTAGGACCTTCTTGAGGAAGCAGGGAGCTGCCTCTTCCCTCACAGGACTTCTTTCCTAAGTTGATTCTGTGTCTAACCAAGGTGACACAGAAAGAGTTTGTGTGTAAACTTCAGAGAAAGATATAAATGCAGCTAAGCTGCTCTCTTGTTGTTGCCATAGAAGAAGTACAGGCCTGTACCCATGGCGTGAGGGTGACTTGAAAGATCACTTAAGTGTGACGGAAGAGCATAATGTGGGAACTGGGTTACTTTTCATGGACTGTACTCAAGAAATGTACTGGCTTTGACTTGAATTTCCTTAGAACATTTAGGCAGGTTTTAAAGAGCAGATAGACATGCTACATTTACAAAGATTTTTCAAAAGTATTGTGTGATTGTAAGTTTTGTTTAAAATCACAAATTTGCCAAAATTTATCATTATCAGGACACAGAAAGGAGTGTTGGGACTATATCGGTCAAGTCAGATAAGTCGCATATCGATTGAAGAAGATTCAGATATAGAAGCCATTAAAGAGAAAATTCTGAAGGACTACAGATGAGGGAGAAACAATAGAAAGACTTAGACCCTTCACAGGCGTAAGCAGAGTCATCGTTTGTATAATATTGAGATGAGGAAGCGGAAGGAGATGAAGTAAGCTGCAAAGGCATTTTAGTGCGGATGAGTCATGAAACACCTGAACAAAATTTCCATCAGTGAACTAAAATTTAAGAACTTTACCACTTCCTTTGGAAGTTAGGGTTTGCTTCTGGAAGATTCATATTCGGCCAAGCCCTGTTCTAAAATTCTTCTCTTCTTTCATTTTTGGATAAAGGCTCTGGCCTTTGTCATATGGGCATTGATTTTGGGGGATGCCCCCCCTTTAAGTGAATAGTTAATATGGTTTATAAGCTGGAAATGAGAACAAAGCCTTAGCCTTTGCTATTTCTGCCAGGTCATTCAGTCAGTGGCAGATGCTGTGGTTTAAACTGGAACTTACCTGGTATTTGAAAACATTCCTCAGTGCATTACAGAATAAAAACCAGATAAGCGACAGATCATTTATGCTCTCAGTGGCCACTGCATATTAGTTATGCACATGTTGCTAAATTGTGCTATTTTTTATATAAAATGGAAGTAACTTTAAATAAAAAGGACCAAAGCGCAGCTATTTGCAAGTGTCTTGTATAGCAAAGTGTCTTTTGTTTTGGTAGATGGAGTATAATATATTTTATGTGAGGGGACTGAGCTTTCAATGTATACAAGGGGCAGAGGTTAAGGGTTTACCCCCAGGTACCATCGTATTATGAGAGCTCCAAAGCAAACCCTTCCAGAACACATGATGACCAAATGGTATTTTCTTGAATAGTGCCTCAGATATGATTATCTTCCTGTTTAGTAATAGCCAGTGAAAATGTTAACATATTAAGTAAAGCAAGGGAGAGCTACTGTTTCCAGGAAATTTTGCCAGGTGTGGAAGGCATCTGTAGTCCAAACTATAGCCGTCAGAAGCAGGAATCCAATTTAACTGAAGGCAGGAAGGAGTCAGGTCAAAGGCAGATTTTAACAGATAATTCCTTCAGTTTTTCTGGTGTGTGTTGCACTAAAGATATGTAAAAACTATTTTGATAAATTAAAGAAAATGCTTTCAGGATCTGAAGACCAGCTGCTATGCCAAATGTAGATACCAACAGGAGAAATATCCTAAACTAGCCTTCCTCAATCTCTGCCCTCTTGGCTGGGGTGACAAGAGTTATAAAGTATCACAACTGGAGAGCACCTGCTTGGGGAAAGCTGTTTTATATCCATATACTAGGGGAAGGTAAAAGTCCAGAACTAACCAGAGAGAATCAGTCCCATGCTTTTAGAGTTCCAGTTAAGGGTGAAAGGTACCCAGGGACGGAGAGCCCAACACTGAGGCAGAATGCAATGACTGCCTCAGGTGGCCAGTGCTGGGGTCATTTCTCCTGAACATTCAACCATAACGCTTCGCAGAAGGACAGGCCGGTGCATCCCACACACAGCCTGTCCTCCAGCTCCTCAAACCATCCCACTCTCCTCCAGTAGAGAGGAGGAGAGTGCCTCATCGCCACCATGGAAACACTTCTTTCCATGGTGGAACAATGTGGCTGCCAACTCGTTCTTTGCCTCAGGTAGCAAAATGTTTGGGCCCGACACCCAGCCCATTTTGAGGTTAAGCTGTGCCATTACAATCAGTTGCTTCCATGTCAAAGTGAAAGGTTGTTTTCGTAGGCATGTACACCATGACCTTAGAAAGTACTCTGGCTGGTTAGTTTGAGGGGGGGGGGAAGGGGGGGGGGGGGGTAGTAAATCCTGGATCCACTTGTGGTTTGACACACCACCCAATCCATTATCCTTGGTTTTGTTTTGGTTCTTTTGTTTTCTTTTGTTTCAGTTAGCACATTTTCACAACACAAAGCTTCTGAATAATTGAATGTGGTAATCTGAATGTCAAAAGTAGATTTTTGCCAAATTAAAGGGCAAGGGGTGGGGAGGGGCACAAAAAAGTTTAAGCAACTGTTTGTATTTTCTACTTATTTATGATTGCAAAGAGACTGATTTCTTTCCCTAATTTACTTTGTAGAACTTCGTGGCCTATTTTATCTTTCATTTGTAACTAAGAAGTTAAATATTCAGTATTGTGACTGTTGTTGGTGAAGTGGTTGGGATATGGGGAGATGTTGGGATATGTGTGGAATAGCCTAAATGTTTGTTCAAAGAAATAAATAATTGCATTTCCAAAAAGGGGTGGGGAGGGGAGAGCATGAAAGCATAACTGTCGTCCTTATCGGTTTGGGGAAAGTGGCAAGAGACTGTATTTTGGATTCAGAGGAAGTCCAGAAAGGTTATGAAAAGCATCAAGGGACACACACTTATGTCTGGAGAAGCAGAGATCAGAGTGGACCATCTCTATGTCTGCAGTCAGCATTTTCAGATCTGGCTCTGTCAAGCGGTTTCTGAAGTTACTCAGAAAAATCTTCCCTTCTCTTAATCAAATCTTTCAAAATATCAGCAGGATACAAATCTTTGCACTTGATGGCCATCACAATGAGCACGTGAGGCAAAATGAAAACAGAGAATGGATTGTTATGGGATCAACAATTGCTGGGTAACTGTTGGTACAGGTCTGGAGAGATGGATAGAAAAGGAATTTAGCTCAAAGACAAGTGGACGTTCAGTCTTCATAAATTTCAGATGTACAGTGTGAAGCCTAACTATGTTTACCTGCAAACTAAGTACCACTACATTTACCATGATGTGTTTCTGAGTAGACATATCTAGGCCAGCATAGATGTTTGTATACTCACTTTTTATCAGGAAGCAGTTTAGATGAATTAGAAGTATTTCAGCTTGTGTTTCTTTTTCTATCCATCAGATTATTACATATTGTACAGGTATAACATTTTCACGGTATGTTTTACTTTGGTGGGGGGGATTTAAAAGTCAAGAGCTTTGACATATTTAATTCCCTTTCCTCTAGTCTCTTTAGGTCTATGGTTGCTACTGGCCAAAGACATAATATAAATCAAGTGTAGCTTCCATTGTGTGTTGTGTATTCAAAATTCCTGAGCAGAAGATCAAACATGGTTTCAGTGACAATCACAACCCCACAGAGACAGAACTGCTACTGAAGATTTTTTTTTCTTCTATTAATGCTTGGGATCATCAAAACTACCTTTTCTTCTCTATGCCAAAAATATGGAAGGAAATGTTTGCTTTCTTGTAAATGCTGAAGCTGACCACAAAAAAACATATACTGTAGTAACATAAGGTTAGAGCTAATCATCCTGTACGAGAGGTAGAGAGAGACCCAGACACTATCCGTTTGGACTGGAGACAAACAGGAACTTAATCCAAATACTCAAAAGCACTCAGCCAGGTATTCCATTCATGGACCACCTTCAAATCTTGCTAAATCTGTCTGGAGCTAAAGCTCAGCCATGGATAGAACTCAAAGCTTTGCACGCAGGATTAAAGACCATTGATCACCATTGGGCAACAAGTGTTAGAACGTTACTGGGACATGACCTCTGTAGTCCTGTACTGGTCTGTTTAAATCTTGAGTGCAAAGCCTAATTGTGCTAATCACTTGTAGGAAGAATGTAATTTTAGATCAGCATATCTTAGTGTTTACATCAGACTAGTTTTCTCCACTTGTCTCTGTCTCACTCCTTCCTCCTGTTCAAAAGCAGCTGGTGAGTGCTAACAGCCTAGTCTACAGTGCAATTTAGACAAAATGGTTTGATGTAATCCTATTCTGCCTCATTGACTCCAGTCATGCTAAACCCATACAAGTACAAGCCATGTAGGAGAAGAAACAAGGGGTGAGCTGTTGACCATCTCCTTTGTGCTTTTTGAAGGATAAGAATAAACCAGCACCTACAAAATGTGTGTCTCTGTTTAGAAATAAAATGTAGCCTTTCACTTCAAATCCCAAATCTAAGAATTGTGCTGAGACACAGTACTGTAACTATGTAGTCCTAAAACAGAAGTTTAGCATAATGAAGTTGTATTTACATTTTTATACTAAGAAAAGTGGTTTCTTTGTAGAATAGAATGTCGCAAAAAATCCATTCTTTATCCTCAATAAAATACATTCCCCAGCTCCACAATATATAGAGAATAAGTATGTTTAAGGATATTACCAATGAAGAGACCTGTCCTTAAATATACTTACTTGCAAGCCAGACATTACAAGTTTAGTGGAAGTTCAACTACACTTTCTAGTAAGTACAGTGGTGCCCCACTTAACGCTTACCCCGCTCGACGACGAATCCGCTTCATGATGAAGTTTTTGCGATCATAAAATGATGTTTGAATGGGGTTTTTTTGCTTTACGATGATTGGTTTCCTGCTTTGGGAACCAATTCTTTGTATTACGACGATCAAAAACAGCTGATCGTCGGGTTTCAAAGTGGCTGCTGGGTGTACAAAATAGCTCCCCGCTGTATTTAGGAAGGCTTTTTCGCAAGACAGGGAGCAGAAAATTGCCGCCCTATGGAGGATCTTCGCTGGACGATGAGTTATTCAGCCCATTGGAACGCATTGAACGGAGTTTCAATGCATTTCAATGGGATTTTTTTATTTTGCTTGACGAGGATATTGCTTAACAGCGATTTTGCTGGAATGGATTATCCTCATCAAGCGAGGCACCACTGTAGTTTGGTTTAGCTGGGGTAGAGACCTGGAGACAGAGGAAGTCTTCTAACTCAGTAATGTTTGCTGAGCAAGATGACATGAAGCAAAATGGCCAACCACAGAAAGCTGCCTTTTCTGAAAATCCCTTTGCTTAGAGAGGCAGACAAGTCAGTGAAAAAGCTTTCTCTGGAGGAGCAATATGCCCAAGGAGCTTCCAAATGACAAACTAATGATCAGCTGCAGGAAAGCAATGCAGAAGTCAACACTTCAGTAGCTTTGACTGTCTCTGTGTGTGTGTCTGTGTGTGTGTGAAGAGAGAGAGAAGCGGGGGGGGCTTTAAAAAAAGATGGGCTGGAAGGTTAAGAACCAAATGACAGACCACGATTATTCTACTGTCTCTCCCCACTCTACCCTAGGCAGGCAGTACAATGCTCTTTGATGCATTCACTATTGTCATAGACCATTGTTGTATTGTTGCTGTATTGTGCTGTTGCGGTTTTGAAAGGAATGCAGTTGGTTAAGACAGACAACTTCTTTATTCTACCGAAAATGTTGATGAGCATTTTTGAAAATTATTTAAATTCACACATGTGACTGCCTACCGTCTATAACAAGTAGTCAGTTGGAATTTAGAGGGCATCCAACTGCCCTCCTTTTAGAAATAATTTTTAAACTAATTTTTTTAAAAAGACATTTTAAACTTATTTGTCATCCTTATTGTTCCAGAATGGAATATTTGTATAGGAATAAGAATTTGGAATGTACCTCAGCCCTGAAAATTAGTTTTTTGTGTGTATACAGTAAATGTTTGTATTTTGCAGTTTTACCTGTTTTGCTTTTTAGATAAAGGAAATGTATATTGATATTTTAAAGTCATTTTTGCTTTTTCTAGATGAGTTTGTAATCATCACAAAGAAAAAAAATTAAAAAACTTTCCTTTATGAAGTTTGTTTGGTGTGTTTGAGCAAGAGTTATTGTTGGTTCTTCTAATGAGACAGTACAATATTACGGTCATGTGGGTAGTGAGTGCTGCTGAGTGCTTTTCTATTGAGTATCCAATGGAAACCAGATTTCTGTAGCATTTCTCATGCTGATGTTTGAGTTCGCTTGTTTCAACCATTTTTTTTTTGGCTAGTTATGTTATACCATAAAGGCTGGATTCCAGTTGTGCAGCTCCACCTGCTCAGCAAGTGTGACATCATCATCAGTGGCAAATGGCCACTGATTTAAGACTTCAGTTTCTCATTTTGGAGTGTACATTATTTGTGTTCTATGTGACAAACTTGTGTGTACTCTGAAAAGGAAAAAAAGGAAGCCTATATTCAATGGCTGCTTGGCACAGCTGCTGATGTCATTCCTGGTGCACAGAGCTGCACAACGGGACTCCAGCTAATGTCTGTTTAAATTACCATAGGCCAGAAGACCTGTTTATAATAATACTGTTGTCTTAGCTTAGAAATCCTGGGCTGGTGTGTTTGTGTTATGCTTTATTTCATACCACCTTCTCCCATTTTTTATGGCTGTTCTCATTTGTTCTCATGTCTGCATTGAAACACTGCTCTCTCTGTGTGTGTGTGTCTGTCTGTCTCTCATGTCTGAAACACTGCTCTCTCTGTGTGTGTGTGTCTGTCTGTCTCTGTCTCTGCCTCTGCTGTTGAATTATTTCTGGAATGAAATCTGATGGTGATAAGTTTCCACACCTTTTCCCTGCCCCTCCCATCACAGGGCCCTGGCTCTGACCATCACTTTTGTTTCCCTTTTCTCGCTTCGTGCTTCAGGGGAAGAGAACGTTTTACTGCTCCACAGTCCCTAACCTTATGTGCCAAACCCACCGTCACACTTCTGCCTCTGCTGTTGAATTATTTCTGGAATGAAATCTGATGGTGATAAGTTTCCACACCTTTTCCCTGCCCCTCCCATCACAGGGCCCTGGCTCTGACCATCACTTTTGTTTCCCTTTTCTCGCTTCGTGCTTCAGGGGAAGAGAACGTTTTACTGCTCCACAGTCCCTAACCTTATGTGCCAAACCCACCGTCACACTAGTTATTTCCTATCTTAACCATGTAATGCTGATGTTTTAACAGCATTCCAGGCCTAGTGGCTGTTGTGGGTTTTTCGGGCTCTTTGGCCGTGTTCTAAAGGTTGTTCTTCCTGATGTTTTGCCAGTCTCTGTGGCCGGCATCTTCAGAGGACTGGGGTAGGAACTCTGTCCATGCTCTGTTGGTGTTTGTTGGATAGTATTTATAGCTGTGGGAACAGCTTTTTGTCACAGTGACAGATAGTCTCTCCCTCTCCCCCCTCCCTCATCACAACAAAAACATGCTAATCACCCTATCTCCTGAAAAAAGGTAAAAAGCTGTTCCCAAAGCTATAAATACTATCCAGCAAACACCAACAGAGCATGGACAGAGTTCCTACTCCAGTCCTCTGAAGATGCCGGCCACAGAGACTGG